GTGTGTGTGTGTGTGTGTGTGTGTGTGTGTGTGTGTGTGTGTGTAAACGGGAATTTCCTGCTACATGGCTTTAATACATAAAAGAAGAAAACCACCTCTCTGCTGTGGTAGGCAGGACAACTTGAATAATCTTAGCTTTTCTGACTGTTGCATTATTTGATGAAGTGAACAGACTTAAATATTTTACCAGTGTGCTACTTAGCTCAGTCCCAGATGAGGCACGTGCACTCAGAACAACTGATGGTTTTTAAAGAAAAAGAAGAAAAAGAAGAGACACACACACACACACACACACACACACACACACACACACACACACACACACACACACACACACACACACACAGTTCTGTGAGAACATCTCCACCTCCATCAAGGTCACAAACACCAGAACAGCAGCGTACTGCACCCGTGTCCAGAGCTCCCACGGAAATTTAAGTCAGCACACCCTGGCTCCACAGATGTGCTAAGGGCCAGTGGCGGTGCTAGCCTGTTTGGCGCTCTGGGCGAACACTCCCTCTGGCGCCCCTCTATGCTGTTGCATGCTGGGGCAGCAGGTTGAGGGTCACAGATGCCAACAGACTAAATAAACTGATCCGTAAGGCCAGTAATGCTGTGAGGATGGAGCTGGGCTCTGTTAGGGTGGTGTCTGAGAGGCAGATGTTGTCCAAGATAAAGACAATGTTGGATAACACCTCCCACCCACTCCATGACATGCTGGCTACTCACAGGAGCACGTTTAGTAAGAGACTGAGAGTACCCACAATGCACCACTGACCGACACAGGAATCATTCCTGCCTGTGACCATCTCCCTGTACAACGCCTCCATCTAACACACTGTAATCACTGCAGTAGTTACAGCCTTTTTACACACACTCTTTATTACTCTGTAATATTCTTATCAATGTTCTTGATATTTATTTATAATCACCTCTGTTAATCCTTCATATTTATAATTGACTGATCTGTATATATTACTGCTATTTCCTAAATGTGTAAAATCTGTAACATAAGGTATTGTTTGGAGTTTAGTCTGTTACTATTTTTACCTTTTCTTCTTGGAGAAACTGTAACCCACATAATTTACTTAAGGATTAATAAAGTATTCTGATTCTGATTGTTCCAGGATGACCTGCTATTATCCAATCAAACGTCTGCTTACCCGTATAAGTTGCTGGTTTCTCCTCCTCTTCTTTTCTCTTTTTTTTTCTAAACTGATCTTTTGAACTTTTCTTGTCCATCTTCCATCGGTTTAATTTTGCCCTCCAGTATGAACACCCATCCCCTACAACCTACACCTTAGTTCACAGATTCACTTTGTCTAAGGTTTATTTCTGGGATTTCGCACAACCCAGGATTCAAATCATGAATACACAATGGGCTTGGATTTACAACATTATGAATGTTGTCCTATCTTATTCATAGCCTTTTCCTTTTTTGTTTTCTTT